GGACCTTTAGAACAACCCTCATATCTTCCGTAAGCTCATCTACACCGAGGGCGTCATGGATTGGCTGTGGCTCAGCTGCAAGTACCATGCTTTGAATGCTCACTTTGACATGCGGGGAATGCTGTGCCGGTTGAAGCCTCATAGGAGGCATACACCTGGCAGCATTCCCAGCATGTCAGCTCCATCAACACTGCAGCTCACCTCCGGGCCACGAATATGGTCCCATCCCTAGATTTCAGGATAAGGTCGACCTCCTTCAGCCCCACTTGACAGTGGCTGCTGGCTGGCCTTGTCTAGCTGCAACAGAGGGAATAGTTCTGCAAGGCCTTCAGAATGCGTGAAAGCTGGCCAGATCCATGTCGGATGGCCCTGATCCACAAAGGTGGCGATTTGGATAATTCTGCCGACCCCATCCGGGCCGTGTGGGTAGTCAAAGCCCGCACGACGCAGCAGTTGATGGAATCGGAAGCATGGTCCAAAGCCACCTTCTTGGTTGGGCGCGTGCCAGACAACATAAAGAGGGCGGCTTCGTCGTCGAGATGATTCTTCCCCGCGGTAGGCGGCGCATTCTCCGAGAGCACGACCCCATTCAAACAGAGCATCTGCCAGGCTGCAAGCGATGCTAACTGTCAACAAGTTTGGACCCAAATCACATAGACAGAGCAAATAGTTGCGAGTCAACACGCCTGGCAACCTTCTGAAGGACATGCCAAACTCGTCTGGCAAGTTGAATAAGAGTGCTGTCTGGCCACTCTGAATCCGGAGTACTTGTTTTGCGGCACTATGATTGAAGGCCGTGTTATTTGGCGTGTACATACTTCTCCGCATCCCTTTCAACATCTATGGTTGGGGAGGACCAATACAGTACACCAACACCATAATATGGTCCTGCATGATACCACAAATGAAAGACCACTGAAAGTCTGTGACACCCTGCAACCCCTCCTGGCACAAACCCCGTCTCATCCATCATACATCAACAAACCGCCGATTACCTGTAGCGCTTGAGTAATCCTCAATATGGCAGTGTCCGTGAAATGGGGGACCCCAAAATAGACCCAAAAAACTAAAAGTCCTTATTACGAGGACCGAAAGAAATCCAGAAACCCCATAATCCACAATATAAACCCAGGTTCCATGGAATTTCCCGCTTCTTTTCCATGTGATTCTCCAATCTTAGAAATGAAATCAACCCCAATATAAACCCTTTTCAAACCCTATATAAACCCCAGTTGACAGAAGCTACGAGCCTTGCGCGGCCAAGCTAGCAAACGGGCAGCCAGCTGCCACCGCACGAGCTGCGGCCTCTGCGGGCAGCTGGGTCTGAAGTTTGCTTCTGGTCCCTCTTGCCATCGGGGATTCCCAGCATTAGGGGTGCGTTTTTGGAGGTCCCTCTCATAAGGATTGTTTTGCTTTGGGGTCTATATTGCAGCTCCCCCAATTTGGGGAGCTGCCATTGTTAAGAATATGGTTACTCACTGCTGTTTGCAGGCAGCAGTCCATGTCAGTAGAAGGATCCACGCCTTGAAGTTGCTATTCAGAAGGATGGGCCTCGCCCATACCCAGAGCTTGGGGACTGCCCCAGCCCTCTAACAGTCTATATAAGGGGTCATAGTAAGGGATATATATATATATAAATTATGAATATTATCCATACCCAGTCACAGCTTTTCGCAGCTGCGAGCTAACGAAGAGTGGAGAGTCAAGGGTTGAACCTTTTGGGCCGCATTGGGTCGTAGCTATTGGGTCGTAGGTTCATGTCTGTAGAACTTCGCAGAAACGAATCGAACCCACACCTCTTGGAAATGCTGAAAAAGCGGGAGGACTGCCAGATGCTAAAGCTGCCCTTATCACCCCTTCTACGTATGCATATGCATGTGATGATGCGTACATAGACAATGACACTACGTGTACGTTTAAACAGGTGTGTGCACCTTCTCTCCTATCATAATATCACATCATATCCTATCATCCCAACAGCATCCGGCCTCCGCGTGACTGGCAGCAGGTGCAGAACGCGGTGGTGGTACAGGCTCTGCCTCCGGAGGCTGCCATCTCCAGTCCACGAACACAACGCGCTTCACACGGATCAGGCCAAAAAGCTCATCATCCAAAAGCTTTTAGGGTTTTAATATTGGGGTTATATTGGGATAACGGAAAAGAATACGGAAATTACTATAGTAATAGTGGGTTATATTGTGGCTTGTCACGATGTCTTGACGGTTTGTGACCCTAGTGGCGCGCGAATTTCAATAACGAATGGCAATGCGCACCAGACACAGTTCCCAGCAAGAAACTTATACATCTCCACCTCGCAGCTATAGTTAGCACTCGAGACTAACTCTACCTACTTGTGCTGTTCAATTCAGATCCGACAAAGTATGTTCTTCCCGTCCAGGTCTCCGAGAGATCAATCCAGAACACGAGTGATACGGCGGCTGATCCTTAGGTGCCTTCCAAACGCACCACTACGAAAAGTAAGTCCGCAAAAAAAGTCACCAAGCTGCTTCTCAAATAAGGGTGCTAGACCGCTCAATGATGAAATGAAGAATTCCGGCTGATCTTCGAGGCATCCCATTACAATGTCATTGCAAAACCTCGACCCGCAACATAAGCACAGAACCACCCAGCCCCCAAGATTAAACCCCTAGAATAACCCTAAACCCAATACACACCCATAATCTCCCATCCCCAAAATCTATCATACCCCTAGAGTACACCACGATACAGAAAAAAAATGTCCTTGCACTAGTCCAACCTACCCCTTTTACCCCACATGCACCAGTAATCCCACAAATTTACACCTTCAATACCCCAATATACCCACTATGACCCTTTTTGCATCTGAGCTTGCACACAGCCCTATGACCCTAAACCCTCAACCCCTAAACCCCCATGACCCTAAACCCTTGAAACCCTAAAGCGAAGTCTGAGCCTCGAAGCCTGCGAGCGAGTCTAACTCCTGGATCCGACCGATCCCCTCCCTCCATAAGGTTAAGGGTTTAGGGCTTGGTGCTTAGGATTGACTGTAAGGCTTAAGGTTTTGGGTTTAAGGTTTTTGACAAATCCCATCGGCTCTTTTTGTGCCCAGCACGGGTTAGGTTTAGGGCTTCAGGTTTACGGCTATATGCATGTACATATACACATACCTATTGGTGTATGCATCAATGTATATATTGATGGGTATACCTGGATATATAAACTGAAATAATGTTTTATACGGGTACATGGAGGTATACAGGGGCATATGGAGTGAATATGGGATTTACAGGGCTTAGGGCTCATTAAGGATAATGAAGACTCAAATGGAAAAGAAATATGAAAATGAGATGGAGAAGTGCATTATATGGTGTTGTATAGGGTTGGGGATGGTTGGGGTTAGGTAGGCAAATCACGAAAGGCTGGTTCTACATACACATGTAGTTGTACAGGACTACCGGGTATTAGCAGGACATAACCTGGATTTTTTCTACCTGGCCTCCCCTGAAGCAAAATTCCCAATATTGTAAAGTCAGATATAGCTCTATCTTAATTTGCTAGGGGCTAAGGGTTTACTATGAGAGCTAGGCAATCTACGACTTGGGAACATGTATGTGTGGGACCAGCCTTCAGTATAAGGTGCAGGTGATTACGGGCAAGGCTCATGTATATGACGAGAGGGTCGCTCGTAAGCACTTGGTTTTATTAGCCTGCTGATCTCTGGGAAGATTCAACAAAAGTCGGGATTCAAGGAACATGGGCACGGTCGAAATTAAAGCCCCCACGTAGCCTCCACATGGTGGGAAGAACGCCAAACAGTGGACACAGTTTGGGCCCATGCTCTTGACAGTATGAGCCACTCAATTCCTGCTGGCTCTGTAGCCAAGTCCTGGAATATTCTCGTGTTCAAGAAGAAGGCATAGTTCGCCTCCTCGACCATACCTTTGACAAGTGCTTCTCTACAAGCATGCGCTCAAGCAAAGGCGACTTCAACGCTTTCAGCAAACTCGAAGGCAAGCCTCAGCTCCGTAATCATGCAACGTCAAGCCTAGCACGGTATCTGAAAGAAAACACTTGCCGGAGTGGTGAATCAGAAGTGGCTCGCCACTGTATGTGCAAGTAGGGTGGCTGGGATGACATGCAGGAAAATCTGGCACCTCTCCAGGAATCCCGTTCCCAAATGACTTCAAAATGCCGTGAGGAAATTTTGGGATCGGCCCAGCTGCGGTCCGCAGTTGCACTATCGGCCTGCAGGCTGTCCATGCGGGCACGATACATATTCCTTAGGCCAGAAACAGAAACCCAACATGAACCTCCAGTTCGAGCATCTTCTGACTGCAGGTGTGGCTGCGACCCGTAAGCTGACTAGAGTAAATGACTGATGTCATGACAAAGGTCTTGAAGTTCTTGAAGTCAGGAATGCGCTTGAAGATGTAGAACCGCACGCCTCAGCCAAAGCAAAATGTTGGCAAATGCCGCTGGCTCACAGCATGCAGCGAGCATTTTCTGGCATCTCGCATCTTTCTCCGGCAGCTGCTGCAGCTGGTAAAGCTCGTGCCCTCTCCCTCACACCAGCGGCGATGCTGATCTAAGCTTTGCGGAGCCTGCCCGCAGCTCCGGCACATTGGCGCAGCACAATTAGAACAGGGGAAGTACAAGGCTGATAGCGTGAGCTCTGACCTCGGCCCTTGCTGGCAGTGACCCCAAAGGTCAGCCCGCGCATTCGTGCCTCCAAAGCCAAACGACGACACTCCAACGTTTTGGGAGTTGCAGTGAGCATCCACGCACTCGCTCTCGTAGAGGCACGGGAAGCCAGCCGTATCCAGATTCGGGTTGAGGACTCGCAGGTGCACGTTGGGTGCCGATGCTGAGGTTATGAGCATTAGGAAGCACTTAACCAAACCGTTCAGGCCAGCAGCAGACTCGGCATGGCCGACGTTGCTCTTTGAGCTGGTCATCAGCAAGGGCGTGGAGCCGCGGTTTTTCATGACCCCACACAAGGCACCGACCTCAATAGGATCTCCAAGAGAGGTGCCCGTTCCGTGGCATTCCGCCACAGCTACAGAATTGGGGCTCACCTTAGCCATCAGTAAGGATGCTCGGATGCAGCTTTGTTGGGATGGACCATGCGGCGCAGTCAGGCTTGCACTTCGACCATCTTGATTCACACTGCTCCCGGAGAGGCTGGCTAAGTGCAATTCAACATCGTCGTCCTCGTGATCTTTTGCCAGAAACACAGCACAACAACCTTCTCCGCGACCGAAACCATGGGCGCCGCTATCAAAAGTGAAGCAGCGGCCATGTAGGCTTAAGAAACCTGCTGCGCCTAGACCGACGAAGCCTTCAGGACCGAAGAGGACACGCACACCAACCACCAAAGCACCAGCGGCCGTGCTACTCTGCAACCCCCCGTTCTGCGATGCTATCCGGAGCTGCGCATGAGCATGTCCTAGCGCCACCAGTGACGACGAGCATGCGGTGTCGAAGGAACACGTGCTGCCGCGCAGGCCAAACAGGTGAGCAATGCGAGCAGCAGTTGCAGCACTCGTCGTGCCAGTCTGGCGGCACGCATCTAAAGTAGGGCAATAAGTTGCCGACTCATTTGCACAGTCACCCAAATATGTGCTTATCCAGCTTCCCTTCAAAGAGTGCTCGAGGCCGGCTTCGGTCAGAGCCTGATGGCCAGTTCGAAGTACCAGGCGCTGCTCCGGAACCATACACTTGGCCTCCTTTTGCCGCAGGCCATAGAATCCTGGAAAAAGGCATGGGGAGTTTTTTCTCCAAAACGTCAGCCCATCTGATACACAGAATGTACAAAATCTATTGTGCATCAGCTCCTGGGTCCAGCTCCCACAGCTCAGAAGCCGCCAAGAACGCTGCGTGTTTGGTGCTTGTTCGGCCCTGCGAGGCAGCATCACCCTCAGGCGCATAGTAGCTGGAGGGATCCCACCTGAAAAAGCATGTTCCGGAGTTGGAAAATCGCAGAACAGAGCAGAGGAGAGGATTTGAGGTTTTCATGGTGTGTGCAGGGTCAGGCCTGTCAGGTGAAACTTCTGACTGCGCCTCTGCCCCCATGGCAAGGAGGGTCCAGTAGCTTTCCTGGTTGCACCAAGGCAGGCAGCTTCAGGTAAGCTAGAGCTGCAGGGGAGCCCTTCAAATGCCAAGTTGAGGGATGCAGTCCGGACGCATGCATAGGCAAATCTTGATGGATTCGTTCACTTCTTGGTATGTCTAATGCTTTCAGGACAGGCTGGACTATCCCATGAGTCTTCTGAAGCTCTAGCAGGGCTCCGGCATCGCACAGCTTCCGGGCAGATTTGTAGCCATGGACTGCACTTGAACCATGGGTGCTGATGGCGGAGGCGGCCCCGTGAACATCAGCTCGTCGAAGTGCTCCATGTGCGGAGGCAGTAAGGGCCACAGGACCCCGCGCAAACATTGCAGGCAATTCTCAAGTTACGCCCCTTCCCTCTCTAGGTCCCAAGGCCCAAGGAAAGCGGCCATGGTTTCGGGACAGCCCAGTATTGCTCGAGGCGTTGGGACAAGGTCTTGCGAACCTCTTGTCTTAGCTCTCGGTCGGACTTTGTGGTATCTGGTCGGACTTTGTGGCATCTGTTCCCTTGGTCACCACTTGCATGGCGAGCAGGATTGTCGGGGATTTAGGCTTGTGCTTAAGGGCAAAGTCCATCCTGCCTCTAGAGGTCTCCGAAAACAGTGTTTGAACCATCATGTGGCATGCTTGAACGTTTGAGCCAGGCCGCTTCCGGGTACATTGCGGGTTCTGCCAACCATGGCCTCCATCTATCTTACGCCTCCATCCTTTCGGTACACACCAAGACTCTGACCAGACCAAACATGATTTTTCAGCGCCCGCCAGTACAAGCATATGAGAAACTCAAGTACCCCTTGTCCTCCTGTTCTACTCTTTCCTGGCCTGGGCCCATAGAAAAAGCAAGAATTATACCAATGCTTCTTGGTTGCCTGAATCATCATTTGGAAGCTTCATGCCTCTGATTGCTGCCTGACACCAGCAGGCTACATCTGCCGAATCGAGGTTTCTCAGAAATTGGGCTCCTTTCATCGGTCCTCCTCAAGGGCATCATCAAGCTGTTGGGCGGGGGTTGACTAGGTTCCTTGCTTCCATTTCGAAAGTAGCTGTACACTTTAGAGCTGATGCTGCACTGCAGTCGAGACACCTTTTTCAGGACCTGTCCACCACTGAGGTCACCCAGGTACCTCATAGGTTCCGTGAGCTGTCCCCCGAATGAACAGCGGAATCCCAATCAAATGTGCATCTCAGCTACCTGGTGTAGGCATGCGGGATCAGAAGCTCAGGTGACTCCTTCTGAACCTGCTTGATCCGGTTGACGTATTCTCCTCAGGCTGCCAACTTGGGGCTCCTCTCCGAATCTAGTCATGGCAGCTTGAATTCCCGCACCTGCAAAACTTGGCTGCACTCCAGCGAATTACAGCTACCAAGGCGCGTGTTGTCTTGGACGGAAGCGTCTCATTCTTCCAGTTCCTGTGCTGCCACTAGCAGGGTCAGGGTGCCTGCACGTCAAGCACCCTGCAGGCTTCCACAGTTAGAGGCGCGCATGGCACGTTTACTCCGAGCTTCTCTCCAAGGAAGAACGCAGCATCCTGGTCCAGTGCTGCTGTCCTCTCCAACTCTTCCTGATGCATGGTCACATGAATCAACCACAACAGTCACAGTCGATAATCCAGATTGGCATGCATTTTGAATGCATACTAGCGATTCAACCGGGTCCCAATCCTTAATCCCGCCACAAACTCACATCAAAGCTACTGTAGTCTCTCTGAACTCCAAGCGGCAGGGAAGTGCAGGCTCTCAATCAAAGGGTGCTCAGCATTCGCCTAGCAAGCTGCGGTGGGCCACAAAGAGCCCAAAGATACAGGGCTCCAGGGCCTATTCAAGCCGAAACAGAAGCCGAAACAAAGGTTGACGAAGGCCCGAGCAGTAAGCAGCAGAACTCCAGGTTTCAAGGCTCACAAGCGCAAATCAAGGTAGCCGGAGACTAACTTTGAGGAAGTTGAAGCTCTGTGCCAGGACTTGGGAGGCTGTCTTTTGGGTGAGGCTTTTAGGCTCGCAAATTTTCCCACAAATCTCACACAGCTAATGTCACAAAACGGCGCTCCCAAAAATTGTTGCATACCACAGCCCTTTTTTTCCAGGACAAGGGTTCCGGCCTTTCACAATGTAAGAAGCTTGCACTTATTCAAAGAGCTTACACGCAATAAGTTGATACTGAGCTTGAGGGATATTTTTAAACAGCCAAGCCACAGAAGCAGACCTAAACCTAAAACACCAACCTCAGGTGCCACAAGAAACTCCGAGGATTGCTTTCTTGCATGAGGATCTCTTGAAGAAGCCACTCATCTTCGCACACCTGTTTCGATGAAACTTCTGGTCGGTCTGCCTCCAGAGCCTCCTCCAGGGCCTGGTAGATGTGGTAAAGGTTCACAACCTGCACAGTTGCTTATAAGTCTTAGATCACATCACCTTCACTTCACAGGACCGTCTATTACCCTGACTTTTTTTGCGTCCGTGTGCTATGCTAACACACATATGTAGCCACAAGTGTCAACAGCCATTCTGTGTCCCTGCACCGTTCCACTAAGCCCGCAGCGAACTGGGCGTAGATCCTTAGCGCCAACACATCCCCGCATAAGGGTTAATTTTTGACTCCTCCACCGCCTCCTTCTCCTCGCCGCAGGCACGGTGGTGGAATGTGGCAGTGGCATTGGGGTGCCGGCAGCGGCGGTCGGTGGGTTATAATTGGGGCGGATTTTGCTGTGGTGGCAGGTGGCGGCTGTTGGCTGGAGCTGGTTGATGGTTGTTATGCTGCTGGTGTTGTTTCAGCTCAAAGGAAGCTGGAGGTGGTGCCACTGCAGCAAGTGCACATGTTGGTAGAACAAAGCACTGCTTGCATCAAGACGCTGGCGCGACACCCTTCCGCGCACGAATTCCTGCGCAGGAACCAAACAGGCAGGGCATCCGTCAAGTCTCTAAGTTTACCGGCCTGCTAGGAATGGAGGGTCGGTGATCAGTTAGGACATGACAACTAGACCAGCATTGCGGCTGCATATTGTTTGCCACAAGCAGCACACAGCTTGTCATTAGATTGCTGTAGTCCCGCAATTGCTTCAGGTGTTGTGGTATGTGGGGTTGGGGGCAGGTTGAGTGAAGGATGGACGGAGACCTGCCTCTGTCCGGAGTGCGGAGATTTGGGGAATACCCACAGAGCCCAGTACCCCTTAATTAAGGAATATAGCCTAAATGGTACTGGGGTCCCGAATTAAGCGACATTCCTCAATTAAGAGGTATTGGGCTCCTTGAGCATAGGGTGGTCTCTGAAGATCATGCGGAAGCTGCCAAAATTTAAACCTCTGCCGGCCCCACCTTCACGAAGTGCACCGTCTCTGCGGCCTGGTGCGCGTCTTTGGTGCCTGCAAGCCCAACCCCTTTGATTGAGGAACATACCTTACGTTGCACTAGGATCTCTAAAATAGTTTACGGCAGATTGGTATTCCTTATATTTTAAACGTAGTTAGGCTCCCTGAATCTGGAGATTTGGCACACAATCTTGGCAGGGCTGTGGGAGGTTGTGTCAAGGTTTTGGGCTTCTCGGCATGAATAGAGTTGGGTGGCCAAAATGAGCCAGCTGCTGATCTGGATAAGCTGGTGAGCCGAAAAGAATGCAAGCCGGTCAGCCCTCCAAGCCAGGAGGCTGATGCTTTGACACAGGGATCCTTGATCGATTATGCGCCACTTTCAAGACAAGCCCATTAGCCGAGTTTGGCGCTTGCAGCTAGTCGAGCTGGGAAGCCGTTAGCCGATCAGACAACAATCAGACAACAAGCCCATCAGACTTTAGGCCGCTGTATGTCGATGAGCCAATCAGCTGAGCAGCTACACTGCTCCTTGGACGATTCGCTGATGTGCCAAAGCACTGCTTGAAAGCCAAGATTGCCCATACTCAGGATGGTCAAGTTCGTATCTTACTATCATGCCGCCTGTTCAAGAAACTCACTGCAAGGCGGCGCGCCTTCCTTGAGCTTGCACGCCAGACCCTCATCTGGCGCCTCGGTCGTTGGTGCCTGCGCACCAAGAAGAAACTGCACCAAGCAAAGGGCGGCCAAAGCTCACGTACCATAATATACTATAATATACCATAACATAATACACCATAACATTCCGGTACTGCAGCCTGCCTCCGTCTGCTCGTCACTGATCCACAGCCCCCAGGATCGCCACTCTAACCTGAAGTCATGGTCCCCGCAATCTCACAGGCATGACTTGCCCGGCAACCCCTGCATTTCCAAGTGACTCCATGGCCAATGGGGTTCCGCTAGATGTGATGCAATTCTTGAAGGGGCAGGCCTCCTGAAAGCATAGTGCGAAAACAGAAATTTTGGGCAGGAGCGGGCCCTCTTGCATAGCCTGCTTGCTGGGTTGGCGCAAAGGTCGTTCCAGCTTGTCAAGCAGAGACTACGAAAGATATCGAACGATGTTGGTAGGCTTCGGGCACCCGTTGGCCGGAACTCCTAACCTCCCTAGGTCCTAGAATTCCTAGAATCTCAAGAGTGCGACGACACAACGAAAGGAATAACAAAACGTAGCAGCACTTGTTGTCACGACAGTCATACACTCGCCATGTCCGCACATAGACACACACGGTGGAGTCAGTCCTGGAAGACTGGGCAGTCGGCTCCGACTGTCTGCTTCAGCGTCTGCGATGCCTTTCCAGAAAGACAAGGCAAATGCGCATAGGCTGCCGAAGGCTTCCTGCCTTGTGGACAGTCTTCAGCATGTCCATGAGTGCTTCGTGTGGCTTGCCACCATGTGCCAACTTTTCCGGAGCCTGTAACGATGCACACGGCATGAGACATGAGCTACTCAACGTCTGAGACCAGCGGCTCCTTTTCCCCGCGGCCGTTAGCTGACAAGGTCCAACATTTGAAAGAAGCACTGCTGACCCATGACTCATGGTCCGGCTTCTTTGCAGGCTTGGACGCTGCATCGACATTGACATTGACATTCCCTGGCAGGAGCTCCCCGAACTCACGGCCCTGCTGACAAACGCCGGGGTTGTCTGCTTGATCGGCCTTCGCTCGCAGTTCCGAAAGAAGTTCCCAACCAGCCTGTACGGATCGGAGTTCTCTCCGGGGCCGACAACACAGAGTGAAGGCATCTGTCCATCAAGTCAACGTCCCAGCCACACATCAACTTGCCCGCTTTGCAAAGGGATGGTCGGCTTGACGATCTTCATTCTAAGTAGAAATTGTACAGGACAAGTCTACCTTTTTCGTTGCTGGAGCCGGTGACGGTGACTGCGGTCTCCGAGGCTGTTCTGATGGCACCTTGGACACAGCGCTCTATGAGACAGCGGATACCCACAGCAGCCTGCGGCCAAGACTCCTTCCGCTCCCAAGTCCGCCCACCTTGCGGGAAGATTCAAGCCTTGAGTGTCTGCAGAAGGTACCCATTAAATTGTTGCAGACACGCACGGAGGCGGTTTCACAAATTCATGTTTGTTGAGATGCCTTACACAATGTCTTTGAACAATGTTCACCAGATATCTGAAAAAACTATCAAACAAAAAAGATTTATTGACAAACCTTTGAAGTGGATGTCACCCGTCTGGTCACAAGCCAAGGAACACTTGTAGCTGAGCTGCAACGGCCCACGGCCAGGTAGTGAGCTCGAAAAATGTGCACAAAACCTGTGCCAGAATCGCAAATGCTTGTTCCTATCATCTCCAGACAACGCTCTCCCCACACTGACAAGTACTTCCAACCCTGCCAAGACAACGCTCTCCCCAAGGCACTCGTCCCAGGCTAGCTGCAAAGCGTTGAAAGGCCCCAACTAACCCACACTAGCAGCACTTGAAAAAGTTGATGCTTCACGTGAGCTTCGCAGACGGGCCTGCTTGTTTTGTTATCAAAGAGAGCGTGGCAAGATCGGAAAGAAACATCGGACCACTTCGGACCCAAGCTAGCTCATGCTGAGGAAAACATAGGAAGAGCAGATGCAGCTCCACGAGCCAGCCAGCCTCGCTTCCGCATCGGGCCCAGTATTGTGGGCGTCCACACTCAGGATCTGGCCCTTCTGCACTCCTCTTCAAGGTGAAGGGTCAAGCATTCTGAACCTAGCACTGACCATTCCAATCACAGCAACACGGAACAATGGCACGTCCCAAAGTGAACAAACATCGCACGTGATAGCAAGTTGCAACGAAGCAGCCGAAACGGGAATTACGACCACACGAGCGAGAGAATATGACTTAACAGCAACAGCAATGTGACTGACGTGGTGCATCTCTAATCCCGACAAACGATATACTCTCGTCGGAGCACGTAGCCGCTGCAGCAACAGCAAGAATGAGGAGAATAAGATTGCGTAGTTCTCTTCTTACGCCCTAAGCCGCAGGCCTCTTCTGCGGAGGAGGTGGAGCATTTCCTCGGCTGCGCCGTTCCAGCTGCCAGCCGCGCTTGCAACGTGATCCACAACCTCCGTGGGAAAAAGTCCTAGGGCTTTGACACTCTTGTAGCTTTCAACAGTAGCAAGGCAGGTGTCTGTTCTGAAGTCCGAACTGGGCATGAGGGTCAACAGCGCTCGGGCCTCCATTCCTCTGACGTTATGTGTGATTGGTCAGAACAATCCAAGCATTGCTCGATTGGGCCGGAGCCATTCGGCTTAGGGAGGTTGAGTGTCTCGAAGCCCTGTCAGCAGACATATCCCTACGGTGATACTGACACCCCGTGATGTTTGTCATGTGCATGTTCCACGTTGGGAAGCTTTTACTCAATGAAATTTTGGCATTCCCACATGCTGTCGGGGTTGTATTATCTTGCATCTGCCTCTCTTTGTAGGTTGGCTACGAGTTCAGGGTCAACGCTTTCGCGGCACAAGCTACCTCCAAGCAAGCGACTGATCTGTGGGAAAACCTACAAAGCTCTGCAAGACACTGCTTCGGCTACGATAACTTCGCAGCCAACTTAGGGTGCCCACCGTCTAGCCTCAGCGCAATAATCATAACATCCGAGGTTTCAGGGGGTTACATGGGCTACATGGAGAAGATGTAAAGGTGTAGGGATATGTGGGACTGAGAGGGGTTGATGGAAGAGAAAATGGAAACGAATTATCCTGAGTTTGGGGGCTTGGGGCAAGCGAATTGCAACACATTGGTGTTCTCCCCCTAGATCACAGTGCCCGGGAGGAGGAATTGTCCGATGGGCTCATACTTGCAGATGGGTAAATTGAAAGATCGGCCCCCGCCCTCCTCGCCCCAACCTCACAACCCACTTTTGAGAATGTCGATTTCTTGGGCAAGGGGGCTTGAAAAAACAGTGGCCCACCATACCATAGCCCACCATGCCATATGGGCTATAGCTACAGTCTAAACTCCTAGCACTCCCTAAAAAAAAACCTTAATACTCCCCAATATAACCCCCTATATGACCCCCTTTTAGGAGTTTAGACTATGGCTCATATCGTAAAATGAAATCTTTCATCAACCCAGGCAAGTCTGGCATCTTCATAGCCAAGCTGCGGAAACCTCCGGCCGGGACCCCACCGAGAAGAGAAGCAGAACCAGGCTCTGACTACCTTCCCAAGACAAGCATATGGGAGTTTCCCGAAATTAGGGGTACCCTTCTCAGGGGTTTTATAGGGTTACATAGGGGTTACATACAGTAGGGGTTATATGCGTCTGCGCTCCGCGTTCCCACCCCCCCCCATGGTATCCCCCCCCACCCCGCCCC